GTTAAAGCATAGGGAAGAGTGGTAAGGTAAGGGGCACGTCGTGCCTTGGGTGGGTTGCGAGACCCTGGGAGGCAGGAACAGGTTACTTGCAAGTGTTTCTTTTCTCAAGAACTGGAAATCTCATTGGGATTTTGGCAGGGAAGGTTTTCAGTGGCGGAATGGAACCTTCAGAATCTCCCACCACCACCCATGCTAAGCAGCCTGGCCCTCTCTTAGCTTAATAACAGTAGCACGTAGACTTATATACTGCTTCATAGTGCTTTACAGCCCTCTCTCTAAGCGTTTTACAGAGTCAGCATATTGCTACCAATTATCATGCTACTCATTTGACCAACCTTGGAAGGATGGAAAGCTGAATCAATCTTGAGCCGGTCAGGATTGCACTCCTGGCAGTGGGCAGAGTTAGCCTGCAATACTGCCTTCTAACCACTGCACCACCATGGCTCCACAACCTGCAAGATGACCTACAAGATTACTTAACAACCAGAATGGCAAGTGCCAGGATTGCAGTTGTTGAGAGAAGCAGTCACATTGATGTCTCGCTTGAAGACTGATTTGCTGAATGACTGAGATTCTGGCACCAATTGTGGATATAACTGGGCTACCTTTAGTAAAGGGAAACAACAGCTTAACTCGTTTTTTTATAAACTNCTCTGTAAACCGCTTAGAGATGGCTGAAAGCCCTATGAAGCGGTATATAAGTCTAACTGCTATTGCTATTGCTATCAGTTGTGTGGGATGCAACACTTCTTACAGAGCGGGGGATAGTTGTAGCTCAGGGTTGAACTGTGGGCTCCCTGGTGCACTCTGAGCCTGGGGGCTTTCTTGCAGACGTTTCATTACCAAATTAGGTAACGTCATCCTTGTCGGAAGGGAGTGGGGTTTGCAGGGAAGGAGGAGGAGGAGGAAGGAGAAAGAGGAAGAAAGAGGAAGAGGAAGAGGAGGACGACTCTGGGATCCTTGCTGTTGAGTTGTTTTCTTGCAGGCGTTTCATGACCCAACTAGGTAACGTCATCAGTGCTAGAAGGGAGGGGGCTTGCAGAGTGAAAGAGAAGGTGGGAGGAGGCGGGAGAGATGGAGGAAGAGTGGAAAGGGTGGGGGAAAGGGGCAGAGGGAGGAGGAGGGGGGAGGAGGAAGAGGAAGAGGAGGCAGTCCTTGATACTCTCTGAACGTTTCATGACCCAACTAGGTAATATCAACTGTGCTTAGAAGGGAGAGGGGTGTGTGGAGGAGGAGGAGGAGGTGAATGATGATGATGGCAGCATAACTATGGCGTCCTCGGTGCCCTCTGAGTCTGGTTGTTCGCTTGCAGACATCACATTACCCAACTAGGTAACCTCATCAGTGCTTGAAGGGAGCAGGGTTTGCTCTCTGTTTATATAGAAGGGGCTTGTGCTGTCTATGTTTCCCCAATTAAGGAACCGCCGGCTTTGAGAAACATTCAAACAATGAACTGCCCAATCAAAGGACCACCAAGAGCAACATCTGATAGGGCCAGCCACTCGTATACAGACAGAGAGCAAACCTCATTCTCTCACAGCACTGATGATGTTACCTAGTTGGGTCGTGAAACATTGGAAAGAAAACAGCCAAGCTCAGAGAGCACCAAGGACCCCACAGTCGTCACCCTTCTCCTCCTCCTCCTCCTCCT